CACATATTCAGTAGTCTTCATACAATTGACTAGTAATTAAATTTAGTATAGATTTACTCTATGTATAGATTTATTACTAAAATATTTTTCAATTTTACTGTTTAAATAAAGTAGATTTACTAATTTTAGATTAGATTATTATTTAATATTTAACGTAAAGTTAAAAAATAAATGCATATTTTTAATTATAAAATTGTTACTATTATTTATTCTTTACAAAACATTAATACAATTTATTATTTAATAATTTATTTTTAAAAATCTAAAGTTAATACATTTTGAACGTATTTTTAAAACTTTCTAAGTTCGTTATATAACACATTAAAAAAACAATTATCATTATTATTTTATGATAATATAAGTCTATAAGTTGATTGCGCACCGTTAGTACACTTAGATCTAAATGATCCGTAAAGTGTATAATTTATTTTGAAAATAATAATACAACATAAACTATAGTTCAAATGTGTCGGACACGGTGTACACAGTACTTATTTGTGTTATATATTGTCCTCGTATATAAATTCTTTAAAATACAGGTGCACTCAACTAAATTTATAAAATTGTTTTGAAAATAGGTTTATTAATCTACTAGATATCATACTATATTATATTCAATTATTATATTATATTAATATATTGAATGAGTGTGTGTATGAGTTAGTTAGTGAGTGAGTGAGAGACTTATAACCAAAAAATTATAATTGAACGAAAATGTCCTTGTACGCACTGTAATGAACTATACAACTCGCTAATCCTGTACCTAATTATCAATAATTATCAAAATCATTTCACTTATAGTCTATATTTATATACGACTATAAATATTGATTAGACAAAACAAAATGAAATGCAATTAAAGCATTTCACTCTAAACTCAATGTGTTTTTCAGTATAAAAAAAGTGTTTTTAATAGATAGCGAGATATCAATCGATTTGTTTGCAGACATAAGTTATTACAGTATTTCTCAGTATTTAAATGAATATATCATTCGCTAAAAACAATTTATTGATTATTGTTTTCAATATGAAAGTACTGAACTATATATACAGTACAGTACAGTACAGTCGGATGTATGCAAAATACTAAGAATTTATTTAAGCTTAAGCGGTAAATTTATTAATATATGAAATAAATATATTATATTACAATGAAAAGTAAAATATAGAAAGGTGACTTACTAAGGACTAACTATCTAAGAGCTAATATAAAATGAGATTAATAACATTTAGTGCAACTACAGTACAGTATACATTGTACCGATAATCTCTCTCTCTCTCTCTCTCTCTCTCTCTCTCTACGGTAATTAAATAAAAATCATTAAATATTACAAATGATTGTGGTCTTTTAAAATGCTCCTTGATCATACGATTCATAGACATGCACCTAAACTTGTGAACCTTAATCTATGATAACGAGTATGCCTATTTGTCCTTTCTCATTTATAGTTATAGTTTAGATTCTACGATGCTGTATCGAATGATATTTAATGTGAATTGCGCGATTATAATCAGTTAACACGAAAGAGTTAACAGATATCTTACCTATCACCACTTGAAACTAACCTCACTCCTATTTATTAAAATAATATGTTACGAAATAAAACCCTATATAAGTATCGCAAAAAGTAGTACGATATTCACGATAATATTATTTGTTAATAATATAAACTGTTAATATTTATTATAAAAATTATAACCATGTTGAAAACTATATTAATAATTGCCTTTTCAATTGCTGTGGGTATGTACAATTTATTCATATAATTACTCTAATGTTAAATAAAATAATTAATTAATTTTTAAATAAACTAGGTAATTGCGACCCATTTAAGGACGTAAAGGCATGGGAGGCTAGCGTAAAAGCTGACTACGCTAAACTGACCGCGGTTGAACTCGTAACAAAAACCGATAGTAGCATACAAACACTGATTAGCTTGCTAATACCAGCGGCCGACCTACTACTCAAAAACAACATGACCGCCTCGGCCGAGAGCTACCTGGCCATCGGGGACTTCATAAAATTAGCCAGCAACAATTTCTACCAGTCAGTGAACAGGGAGTCG